TGAAACCCACGAGCACGGGTATGGTGCTGACAAACCTAGAAACATTATCGGGGCGAACCGGGATTCGAACCCACAATCATAGGTTTCAGGCGTGCCCGAGGGACGCAACTCTGCACAGCGAATCGCGGCGCCTTAGACGACTGGGCCACCCGTGTCTAGTCCAGGATAGATTATTAAAAGGACGCAGTAATAAGGACGCTGGAAAATTGAATAAAACGGCATGTATTCCCAATTCCTTCATCAAGAAACTAATACCTACATCGAGAGTCTAATTCCTAAGTCTACTGTCTAATGCCAAAATCTGGAGCCTAATTTCAAAGTCCACTGTCTCATTCCTGTCTAGAGTCTAACGCACCAGTCTGTAATTTGGTACTTGTTGTACGCATGCTGCACCAGTCTGTAATTTGGTACTTGTTGTACGCATGCTGCACCAGTCTGTAATTTGGTACTTGTTGCACGCATGCTACACCACTCTGTAATTTGGTACTTGTTGTACGCATGCTGCATCAGTCTCTAATTTGATACTTGTTGTACGCACGCTGCATCAGTCTGTAATTTGATACTTGTTGTACGCATGCTGCATCAGTCTGTAATTTGGTACTTGTTGTACGCATGCTGCATCAGTCTGAAATATTATACATGTACGCATGCTGCATCAGTCTCTAATTTGGTACTTGTTGTACGCATGCTGCACCAGTCTGTCATTTGGTACTTGTTGTACGCATGCTGCATCAGTCTGTAATATTATACATGTACGCATGCTGCATCAGTCTGTAATTTGGTACTTGTTGTACGCATGCTGCATCAGTCTGTAATTTGGCACTTGTTCCACGCATGCTGCACCACTGTGTAATATTATACTTGTATGCAAGCATGCTGCACCACTCTGTAATTTGATACTTGTTGTACGCATGCTGCATCAGTCTGTAATTTGATACTTGTTGTACGCATGCTGCATCAGTCTCTAATTTGATACTTGTTGTACGCATGCTGCATCAGTCTGTAATTTGATACTTGTTGTACGCATGCTGCACCAGTTTGTATTTTGATACTTGTTGTACGCATGCTGCATCAGTCTGTAATTTGATACTTGTTGTACGCATGCTGCACCACTCTGTAATATTATACTTGTATGCAAGCATGCTGCACCACTCTGTAATTTGATACATGTTGTACGCATGCTGCATCAGTCTCTAATTTGATACTTGTTGTACGCATGCTGCACCACTCTGTAATATTATACTTGTATGCAAGCATGCTGCACCACTCTGTAATTTGATACATGTTGTACGCATGCTGCATCAGTCTGTAATTTGATACTTGTTGTACGCATGCTGCACCAGTTTGTATTTTGATACTTGTTGTACGCATGCTGCATCAGTCTGTAATTTGATACTTGTTGTACGCATGCTGCACCACTCTGTAATATTATACTTGTATGCAAGCATGCTGCACCACTCTGTAATTTGATACATGTTGTACGCATGCTGCATCAGTCTCTAATTTGATACTTGTTGTACGCATGCTGCATCAGTCTGTAATTTGATACTTGTTGTACGCATGCTGCACCACTCTGTAATATTATACTTGTATGCAAGCATGCTGCACCACTCTGTAATTTGATACATGTTGTACGCATGCTGCATCAGTCTCTAATTTGATACATGTTGTACGCATGCTGCACCAGTTTGTATTTTGATACTTGTTGTACGCATGCTGCATCAGTCTGTAATTTGATACTTGTTGTACGCATGCTGCACCAGTTTGTATTTTGATACTTGTTGTACGCATGCTGCATCAGTCTGTAATTTGATACTTGTTGTACGCATGCTGCACCAGTTTGTATTTTGATACTTGTTGTACGCATGCTGCATCAGTCTGTAATTTGATACTTGTTGTACGCATGCTGCACCAGTTTGTATTTTGATACTTGTTGTACGCATGCTGCATCAGTCTGTAATTTGATACTTGTTGTACGCATGCTGCACCACTCTGTAATATTATACTTGTATACAAGCATGCTGCACCACTCTGTAATTTGATACATGTTGTACGCATGCTGCATCAGTCTCTAATTTGATACTTGTTGTACGCATGCTGCATCAGTCTGTAATTTGATACTTGTTGTACGCATGCTGCACCAGTTTGTATTTTGATACTTGTTGTACGCATGCTGCATCAGTCTGTAATTTGATACTTGTTGTACGCATGCTGCACCACTCTGTAATATTATACTTGTATGCAAGCATGCTGCACCAGTTTGTAATTTGATACATGTTGTACGCATGCTGCATCAGTCTCTAATTTGATACTTGTTGTACGCATGCTGCACCACTCTGTAATATTATACTTGTATGCAAGCATGCTGCACCACTCTGTAATTTGATACATGTTGTACGCATGCTGCATCAGTCTGTAATTTGATACTTGTTGTACGCATGCTGCACCAGTTTGTATTTTGATACTTGTTGTACGCATGCTGCATCAGTCTGTAATTTGATACTTGTTGTACGCATGCTGCACCACTCTGTAATATTATACTTGTATGCAAGCATGCTGCACCACTCTGTAATTTGATACATGTTGTACGCATGCTGCATCAGTCTCTAATTTGATACATGTTGTACGCATGCTGCATCAGTCTCTAATTTGATACTTGTTGTACGCATGCTGCATCAGTCTCTAATTTGATACTTGTTGTACGCACGCTGCATCAGTTCAATTTTGATAATTATTACACGCATGCTGCATCAGTCTGTTATTTGATACCTGATGGAAGCATGATGCACCACTCTGTAATTTGATACGTGATGCATGCATGCTGCATCAGTTTGTACTGTGATACGTGCTGTACGCATGCTGCACCAGTCTGTAATTTGATACTTGTTGCAAGCATGCTGCATCAGTTTGTATTTTGATACTTGCTGTACCCATGCTGCACCAGTTTGTATTTTGATACTTGTTGCACGCATGCTGCACCAGTTTGTATTTTGATACTTGTTGTACGCATGCTGCACCAGTTTGTATTTTGATACTTGCTGTACCCATGCTGCATCAGTGTGTATTTTGATACTTGTTGCACGCATGCTGCACCAGTGTGTATTTTGATACTTGTTGCACGCATGCTGCACCAGTTTGTATTTTGATACTTGTACGCATGCTGCATCAGTGTGTATTTTGAAACTTGTACGAATGCTGCATCAGTGTGTATTTTAAAACTTGTTTCACGCATGTCTGTAATTTGACACTTGTTGTACGCATGCTGCACCAGTCTGTAATGTGATACTTGTTGCACGCATGCTGCACCAGTCTGTAATGTGACATTTGTTGTACGCATGCTGCACCAGTCTGTAATGTGACATTTGTTGCACGCATGCTGCACCAGTCTGTAATGTGACATTTGTTGCACGCATGCTGCACCAGTCTGTAATGTGACATTTGTTGCACGCATGCTGCACCAGTCTGTAATGTGACATTTGTTGTACGCATGCTGCACCAGTCTGTAATGTGACATTTGTTGTACGCATGCTGCACCAGTCTGTAATGTGACATTTGTTGCGCGCATGCTGCACCCGTCTGTAATGTGATACTTGTTGCATGCAATGCTGCACCAGTCTTTAATTTGATACTTGCTACACGCAATGCTGAACCACTCGGTAACTTGATATTTGTTGTACGCATGCTGCATCAGTCTGCTATTTGATATTTGTTGCATGCAATGCTGAACTAGTCAGAAATTTGATACTTGTTGCACGCAATGCTGAACCACTCGGTAATTTGATACTGATCAATCTGCAGTTTGATCTATTCTATTCAACTTCATGTAATGTAATTACTTTATTCCTAAACTATCCCTCTAGTGTTTTTTTATTATGTTTAAAAACATAATTATGTTTGTCTCGTAACGTAAGGGTGCGGGCAATTAGACGGAACAGCCAGTCAGTTATCCGTGTTAGAGGATTTTAAATTTACGCCGCCGCCTTTTACCCATGTCCAATAACACACAAGGCTGGTCTGAACATCGGCATCTCAGACAGTTTATTTTGTTTGCGCTACCTCCTAAGTTGTGTAATGAGGTATCCTTTTGAGAAATTAAGAGAAACACTTAAATGCGCACGTTTTTATTCATTGCGCACTAACATATTAGAATAATAAGCTTTACATAAAAATGAACGTTTCATCTATATGTGGTTACAATATTTTATAAATTTGGAAAACAGTAATTATAAATTATAATTATGTAAAACTGGTAACATAGAGACTGATGTCCCGTCAAGTCAAGTGTGTATTTGGCGCGACAGTTAAGATGTGCGCCCAGCGCAACAAAATGCACACAAATTCTAAAAATGCCTGTCTTAGAGTGAGTGAGTTGGGTTTAACGCCGCTTTTAACAGTATTCCAGTTATATCACGGCGTGTCAGCTTAATGTGTGGGGAAAGCCCGAAGTGATGCAGGTCTCAGACGTTTACCACTTCGGTGAAACCCACGAGCACAATCGGGGCGAACCGGGATTCGAACCCACAATCATAGGTTTCTGGCATGCCCAAGGGACGCAACTCTGCACAGCGAATCGCGGCGCCTTAGACGACTGGGCCACCAGTGCCCCCGCCTGTCTTAGAAAGAATGAACTACTCTGAAAACAACCCAGCGGACATATTTAGTGTTCTAGATACATGTTATTACACATTTGTAATCAAGACGAAGTGAAGGGTTTTATAGACATTCAATGAATCCCTTTCCTTTTGAGTGAGTAAGTGAGTGAGTTGGTGAGTTTGGTTTTACGCTGCTTCTCGCAATATTGCAACCATATCATCGTGGGAGACACAAGATAAAAAATTAAATGCTTGCTATATCACGATATGCGGTGAGTACCATACATCAACTGATATATCATGAACCGGAGATAAACTAAAGACACGATAGTGTTAGCTTGACAAAAAGCACATTATCGTATCGTATCTATGGCATGAAGAGGTAAAGCAAATTGGCTGACAACTTACCATTTATGGTACTGTTCAATTCAAGCTTCCACGTCACTGCTGCAGTTTTAGAAAAAGTCCATGTTTAACTTAAGGTGAGATCGATGACAAATAGCGCACATCAGTAAAATGAATTGAAGAATGGACTCCAATTGATGGCGTAAAACCGTTTTCTGCGTGAGAGAGCTATTATGAAAGTGAGAGACGGCGTGCGTATTGTTGGGAAACAGGGATCAGCGTGGCTCACCCCGTAAACAGTCCGTGCAGCATTGCTGGATCGATAATCAAAACTATAAGACAGGTGAAAAAAGGTAATCTCTCGCGTAGCTCCAAGGTCCCATTAGTTTTTTTATGGTGCAGTAAATACGAAACTAATTATAATCCATAAATATTGCCTTTACATGAACAAGAAGTGCGAAACTGTGTCGAGTTGGGTCACCGTTATGGGCTAAAAACCATCCATAAATAAAAGAACAATTGTCTGGAAGCTTGGATTAATCCATTCTCTGTGGTTATGAGGATGTGGATGTGCGAAGGTAATGGATTATGGCTATAAATTATCTGGCAGGCGGTTTCTAAGGGTAAAATGTGTTTCTCTATGATAGACCTGCCGCCCATAACGTATTTCATTAAGATGTCAATTCGTCACCAGGAGACAGATACTTTACGTCATAGTTCAAATAGGCATGATTTTGTGGACAATGACAATATGGATGCATGTGGTTATTGTAATCTATGTATTATAGCGTAACACAAACATGTCGCTGGTATCCTTGACGGAATGGCCTACCATAATATAATGTTTATGATGATGACATGTCTGATTGAATTGCTTCGTACCCCTAAAGCGTGGATCGTTTCTCGTGTTATGAACCAGTGCTTCACCTGGTCCACACCTGATTATTTACAGGTTATAGCTGCAACATCACTGAGTACGGTGTACTGAGTAGAACATATCCACACTCTTAAGTAATCTATGTTTCTTATCGTAAGGCTCAAAAGTACTCCTTAGTGCAGGGTGCCGGACGGTAGTATCTTAGGAAGTCACTTGAACAGAGGAGCTATACTTCTAAGCAGCGTTGATATCAGCTACATCTATGTATATTTGTCTAAACAGAACATTAAACCAAAATGCAAACATTTTCCTTAATAAACACCAGCTTTAATGACTGCTTACAAAGCAACATCATTTATGTAATTTAGTGGACAGACAGTCACATACGGGTGGAAAAGAGGTGGCCGGATAGTCACATACATATGAAAAAAGGTGGACAGAGCCAAAAACAGATCGAGGTTAGTTGGACAGAGACACATACAGATGGAAAAGAGGTGGACAGTCAAATACCGATCGAGGTTAGGTGGACAGAGACACATACAGATGGAAAAGAGGTGGACAGTCACATACACATACAGATGGAAAAGAGGTGGACAGTCACATACAGATGGAAAAGAGGTGGACAGTCAAATACCGATCGAGGTTAGGTGGACAGAGACACATACAGATGGAAAAGAGGTGGACAGTCACATACAGATGGAAAAGAGGTGGACAGTCAAATACAGATCGAGGTTAGGTGGACAGAGACACATACAGATGGAAAAGAGGTGGACAATCACATACACATACAGATGGAAAAGAGGTGGACAGTCAAATACAGATCGAGGTTAGGTGGACAGAGACACATACAGATGGAAAAGAGGTGGACAATCACATACACATACAGATGGAAAAGAGGTGGACAGTCACATACAGATGGAAAAGAGGTGGACAGTCACATACACATATAGGTGGAAAAGAGGTGGACAGTCACATACAGATGGAAAAGAGGTGGACAGTCACATACACATATAGATGGAAAAGAGGTGGACAGTCGCATACAGATGGAAAAGAGATGGACAGTCACATACACATATAGATGGAAAAGAGGTGGACAGTCACATACACATATAGATGGAAAAGAGGTGGACAGTCGCATACAGATGGAAAAGAGGTGGACAGTCACATACACATATAGATGGAAAAGAGGTGGACAGTCACATACAGATGGGGGAAAGGTGGACAGAGACACATACAGATGGAAAGGAGGTGGACAGTCACATACAGATGGAAAAGAGATGGACAGTCACATACACATATAGATGGAAAAGAGGTGGACAGTCACATACAGATGGGGGTAAGGTGGACAGAGACACATACAGATGGAAAAGAGGTGGACAGTCACATACAGATGGAAAAGAGGTGGACAGTCACATACACGTATAGATGGAAAAGAGGTGGACAGTCACATACAGATTGGGGTAAGGTGGACAGAGGCACATACATATGAAAAAAGGTGGACGGAGCCAAATACAGATCGAGGTTAGGTGGACAGAGACACATGCAGATGGAAAAGAGGTGGACAGTCACATACAAATGGAAAAGAGGTGGACAGTCGAATAAAGATGGAAAAGAGGTGGACAGTCACATACAGATGGGAAAGAGGTGGACAGTCGAATAAAGATGGAAAAGAGGTGGACAGTCACATACAGATGGGAAAGAGGTGGACAGGCAGTAACATACAGAAGGAAAAGATGTGGACAGTCACATACACATACAGATGGAAAAGAGGTGGACAGTCACATACATATACAGATGGAAAAGAGGTGGACAGTCACATACAGATGGAAAAGAGGTGGACAGAGTCCCATACAGATGGAAAAGAGGTGGACAGTCACATACAGATGGAGATGGAAAAGAGGTGGACAGAGTCATACAGATGGAAAAGAGGTGGACAGTCACAGGGAGATGGAGATGAGGTGGACAGAGTCACATACGGATGGAGATGGAAAAGAGGTGGACAATCACATACAGATGGAAAAGAGGTGAACAGACAGTCATATAGAGATTGGGTGAGTTGGACAGTCATACAGATAGAAAAGAGGTGGACAGGCAGTAACATACAGAAGGAAAAGATGTGGACAGTCACATACACATACAGATGGAAAAGAGGTGTTAAGAGTCACATACATATACAGATGGAAAAGAGGTGGAAAGTCACATACAGATTGGAAAGAGGTGGACAGAGTCCCATACAGATGGGAAAGAGGTGGACAGTCGAATAAAGATGGAAAAGAGGTGGAAAGTCACATACAGATGGAGGTGAGGTGGACAGAGTCACATACAGACGGAAAAGAGGTGGACAGTCACATAAGGAACGAGGTGAGATTGACAGTCACATACATATGAAACAGGTGGACAGACAGTCACATACAGATGGAAAAGAGGTGGACAGACAGTCACATACAGATGGAGGTGAGATGGACAGAGTCACATACAGAAAGAAAAGAGGTGGACAGAGTCACATACAGATGGAAAAGAGGTGGACAGTCACATACACATACAGATGGAAAAGAGGTGGACAGTCACATACAGATGGGAAAGAGGTGGACAGAGTTCCATACAGATGGGAAAGAGGTGGACAGTCACATACAGATGGAGGTGAGGTGGACAGAGTCACATACAGATGGAGATGGAAAAGAGGTGGACAATCATATACAGATGGAAAAGAGGTGAACAGACAGTCATATAGAGATGGGGTGAGTTGGACAGTCATACAGATGGAAAAGAGGTGGACAGGCAGTCATATAGAGATGGGGTGAGTTGGACAGTCATACAGATGGAAAAGAGGTGGACAGGCAGTAACATACAGAAGGAAAAGATGTGGACAGTCACATACACATACAGATGGAAAAGAGGTGTTAAGAGTCACATACAGACGGAAAAGAGGTGGACAGTCATATAAGGATCGAGAGGAGATGGACTGTCAAATACATATGAAACAGGTGGACAAACAGTCACATACAGATGGAAAAGAGGTGGACAGACAGTCACATACAGATGGAAAAGAGGTGGACAGACAGTCACATACAGATGGAGGTGAGATGGACAGAGTCACATACAGAAAGAAAAGAGGTGGACAGAGTCACATACAGTCACAGGGAGATGGAGGTGAGGTGGACTGACAGTCACAGGGAGATGGAGGTGAGGTGGACTGACAGCCGCAGACAGGTGGAGGTGAGGTGGACTGACAGTCACAGGGAGATGGAGGTGAGATGGACTGACAGCCGCAGACAGGTGGAGGTGAGGTGGACTGACAGCCACAGACAGGTGGAGGTGAGGTGGACTGACAGCCACAGACAGGTGGAGGTGAGGTGGACTGACAGTCACAGGGAGATGGAGGTGAGGTGGACTGACAGCCGCAGACAGGTGGAGGTGAGGTGGACTGACAGCCACAGACAGGTGGAGGTGAGGTGGACTGACAGTTACAGACAGGTGGAGGTGAGGTGGACTGACAGTCACAGGGAGATGGAGGTGAGGTGGACTGACAGCCACAGACAGGTGGAGGTGAGGTGGATTGACAGTCACAGGGAGATGGAGGTGAGATGGACTGACAGTCACAGACAGGTGGAGGTGAGGTGGACTGACAGTCACAGGGAGATGGAGGTGGGGTGGACTGACAGTCACAGACAGGTGAGGTGGACTGACAGTCACAGGGAGATGGAGGTGAGGTGGACTGACAGTCACAGGGAGATGGAGGTGAGGTGGACTGACAGTCACAGGGAGATGGAGGTGAGGTGGACTGACAGTCACAGACAGGTGGAGGTGAGGTGGACTGACAGTCACAGGGAGATGGAGGTGAGGTGGACTGAAAGTCACAGGGAGATGGAGGTGAGGTGGACTGACAGTCACAGACAGGTGGAGGTGAGGTGGACTGACAGTCACAGGGAGATGGAGGTGAGGTGGACTGACAGCCACAGACAGGTGGAGGTGAGGTGGATTGACAGTCACAGACAGGTGGAGGTGAGGTGGACTGACAGCCACAGACATCCCAGTAGCCATATACCAACTTAAGAAACTGTGCGTGTATTAACTGAGGGGTATTCTCGGGTATTGAACTTGGCTATCTGTCAAGGCTCCCTGACTGCTGTTAGTTCTGTCGTCTACGGAAAGGAAAGGTGAAGAGATTAAGACATCAATACGTAATCGTTATATGCACGGGTCTGCCAGCACATTGTAGAATGTGTGTAATAACGCAGTATCAACTGCCCTGCACTTCATTCTCTTCTCAAAGAAAGCTATGAAGAAAGTTAGTGGGTAAACACCGTGTTTCCTGATTGATGCAGACTCGGGGTTTCTCACAATGCCACCCTATCAATCACCATACGGAAGTTTTGAAATTAGATCCGAATATGACTTCCAATGTCGCTTTTCAATAAACTGGTCTATCCAGATCGCCATCGATTTTCAAATAATCACTTCCTATGACATTTATTGTGAAAAGCCAGGCGAGGCCTACTGCCCTTCTGCCGTGTCAGAATAACCTATGGCAAGGCTATCCATCAAGTGTGATAATGGTCATGCTCAGAGGAGGCATAGTGGCAGTGACGACCACTGATCAAGCCCCTACCCTCTGATTAGTAGTCAGTGAGATGGCGTTTACTGGGTACCCGGTAGAATATATGAACGTTATTCATGTGACGAGACAGTTCCTCCGAGTGAAACTGAACCGATTGATTTGACATCTATTTTACTTTTATGATTTTTTTTTCCAAACGCATGGAATGGAAATATGGTCATAATTTCATTATCTACGAAACTGACATACACAAGAATCAGTGGCACTGTTGATGAACATGTTATATTTACTTTTGAAATGTGTTACGAATCCGTTACATTACGATTCAAACTACGATAACAACCCTTATATGACAAAACTAATTCGGAACAAACCAAACATTGGTTTATATTTGAAAAGCACAAGCGGAGCCGTTATATTGACTACAGAACATACTACCTACTCGATACCAGTCATTATAGTACGATCTATTTCTAACAATGATTTTTGTTCAAACAAGCTTCTGTAAATATTATCAATTACAAAGTCGAATATTCTAGCACTCCAAGAAATCTTTTACAGAACCACTCAGAAACATCCTCTCAGCCCAGACAATTCGCCGAAGTTAAATCAAGATGATTTTATCCGACTGTACAATGCTTAGAACATACTTTTAAGCTGTTAATATTCTCATACATATCGAATAAGACAAACATTGAAACTTATTTGCTGCGACAGCGTTTGGAAGAAGTGGCTGCTTTCATGTATGCATATTCATCAAGAAGTGCGTGCTATGCTGTGATAATATCCTTTTGTGTTTAAATGCATGTTTTAAAAAAAACATCATCACGAACAGACGAGTTTTGCTTTGTGCTCCGGCAAATATCACTGACAGGTCCGTCACATGAAGCCGGATCTCTTCGTCATCTCGCCGACCGCGCCTAAAGGCCTATGTTGAATATATACAGTAAGTGATAGATTTATTGAATAATGCGATAACGCTTGAACAGTACACCCCGAGTGCATGGGGTTGAACAAACACGTCTATTTGCCCTAGAGGAAAGAACTTCACTATCATTTAATTATCAATAATTAGGTTAAGTTCCGTTGAAGACATGTAATATTTAATGCTTCGATGCATTATTCCTCCACCGATTGTAGAACTGACTTTTCCCAATGAGAAGGTATTTATTTTGTCGCGTTTGAGATGTCCAAGACTTATTTTTAAACGGTAAGTCAACTTTACAGTTAAAGACGTTGGGGTCAAGTGTGTGTCATTCCCGGGTAGAATGAAGCATTGCTTTGTGACAGTGGCTGCTGCCGGAGACAGATCCATACGCGGGTTTCACAACATTCCAAAGAAACTACTTGACTGACTGTGAAGCCTCTAAATAATACGGTATACGGAGTATACGGTTCGATCTTGTTGAAGGACAAGAGGTTGACATACATATTCACCCATACACCATCCATTAGTATTCAGAAGTGCGAAGTGTGGATAGAACTGTAAGCCCTTTGATGTCGTGTTTTTGGTTTAAGGTTGATGACATCCCGACATGTATTGAAACACGGACCAAATGGGAGAGGGTTTATATACACTTGGCTCTTGTTATGATTCCATAAATCAGCAGTTTGCATTAAATGATGAGAACAACAGTCATATCAGGCAACTCAGGCAGACCAGATACGTGAAGCACCAGACACATCAGACACACGGCACACCAAGCACACCCCATATACCAGACACACACGGCACACCAAGCACATCCCATATACCAGACACACAAGGCACATCAAGCACACCCCATATACCAGACACACAAGGCACACCAAGCACACCCCATATACCAGACACACAAGGCACACCAAGAACACCCCATATACCAGACACACAAGGCACACCAAGCACACAACATATACCAGACACACAAGGCACACCATGCACACCTCATATACCAGACACACAAGGCACACCAAGCACACCCCATATACCAGATATACAAGGCACACCAAGCACACCCAATATACATGACACACAAGGCACACCAAGCACACCCCATATACCAGACACACAAGGCACACCAAGCACACAACATATACCAGACACACAAGGCACACCAAGCACACCCCATAAACCAGACACCCAAGGCACACCAAGCACACCCCATATACCAGATACACACGGCACACCAAGCACACCCCATATACCAGACACACAAGGCACACCAAGCACACCCGATATACCAGACACACAAGGCACACCGAGCACATCCCATATACCAGACACCCAAGGCACACCGAGCACACCCCATATACCAGACACACAAGGCACACCAAGAACACTTCATATACAAGATACACCAGGAACACCAAGCACACCTCATATACCAGACACACAAGGCACACGAAGAACATCCCATATACAAGAAACACACGGCACACCAAGCACAGATATACCTGACAAACGAGGTACAGCAGATACACCTGTCAAACGGGGTTCACCAGATACACCTGACAAACGAGGTACACCAGATACACCTGACAAAAGAGACACACCAGATACACCTGACAAACGAGGCACACCAGACACATCTGACAAAGGAGGTACACGAGATACAACTGTCAAAGGAGGTACACCAGATACAACTGACAAACGAGACACCAGATATACCTGACAAACGAGACACATCAGATACACCTGACAAAGGATGTACACCAGATACAAATGACAAAAGAGACACACCAGATACACCTGACAAACGAGGTACATCAGATACACCTGACAAACGAGACACACCAGATACACCTGACTAACGAGGTACATCAGATACACCTGACAAACGAGACACACCAGATACACCTGATAAAAGAGACACACCAGATACACCTGACAAACGAGACACCAGATATACCTGACAAACGAGACACATCAGATACACCTGACAAAGGAGGTACACCAGATACAAATGACAAAAGAGACACACCAGATACACCTGACAAACGAGGTACATCAGATACACCTGACAAACGAGACACACCAGATACACCTGACAAACGAGACACACCAGATACACCTGACTAACGAGGTACATCAGATACACCTGACAAACGAGGCACACCAGATACACCTGACAAACGAGACACCAGATATACCTGACAAACGAGACACATCAGATACACCTGACAAAGGAGGTACACCAGATACAAATGACAAAAGAGACACACCAGATACACCTGACAAACGAGGTACATCAGATACACCTGACAAACGAGACACACCAGATACACCTGACAAACGAGGTACACCAGATACACCTGACAAACGAGGAACACCAGATACACCTGACAAAATAGACACACCAGATACACCTGACAAACGAGACACACCAGATACACCTGACAAACGAGGTACATGTACACCACATACACCTGACAAACGAGGTACATCAGATACACCTGATAAAAGAGACACACCAGATACACCTGACAAACGAGACACATCAGATACATCTGACAAACAAGACACATCAGATACACCTGACAAACGAGACACATCAGATACACCTGACAAACGAGACACATCAGATACACCTGACAAACGAGACACACCAGATACATCTGACAAACGAGACACATCAGATACACCTGACAAACGAGACACACCAGATACATCTGACAAACGAGACACACCAGATACACCTGACAAACGAGACACCAGATACATCTGACAAACGAGACACACCAGATACATCTGACAAACGAGACACACCAGATACACCTGACAAACGAGACACCAGATACATCTGACAAACGAAACACACCAGATACACCTGACAAACGAGACACATCAGATACACCTGACAAACGAGACACATCAGATACACCTGACAAACGAGACACATCAGATACACCTGACAAACGAGACACACCAGATACACCTGACAAACGAGACACATCAGATACACCTGACAAACGAGACACACCAGATACATCTGACAAACGAGACACATCAGATACACCTGACAAACGAGACACACCAGATACATCTGACAAACGAGACACACCAGATACACCTGACAAACGAGACACATCAGATAAATCTGACAAACGAGACACACCAGATACATCTGACAAACGAGACACACCAGATACACCTGACAAACGAGACACCAGATACATCTGACAAACGAGACACATCAGATACATCTGACAAACGAGACACACCAGATACATCTGACAAACGAGACACACCAGATACACCTGACAAACGAGGCACACCAGACACATCTGACAAAGGAGGTACACGAGATACAACTGTCAAAGGAGGTACACCAGATACAACTGACAAAAGAGACACCAGATATACCTGACAAACGAGACACATCAGATACACCTGACAAAGGAGGTACACCAGATACAAATGACAAAAGAGACACACCAGATACACCTGACAAACGAGGTATATCAGATACACCTGACATACGAGACACACCAGATACACCTG